TTCTATATTTCTGTGGTGTCTGTTGTAATATTTCCTTTTTCAGCATGGATGTTAGTAATTTGAGTTTTCTCTCTCCTCTTTGTTGCATGGCTAAGGGTTTATCAATTTTATTTATTTTTTTCAAAGAACTTTTTGTTTTGTCAATTTTTTCAATTGTTTCTTTTGGTTCAATTTTATTGATTTCAGCTCTGATTTTAATTATTTCCTGTCTTCTACTGCTTTTGGTGTTGATGTGTTCTTTTTCTAGGGCTTTGAGATGTAGTGTTAGGTCATTTATATGTGGACTTTTTCTTCTTTTAAGGAATGAACTCCATGCAGTGAACTTTCCTCTTAGTACTTCCTTCATTGTGTCCCAGAGATTTTGATATGTGTATCAGTGTTCTCATTTATCTTTAAGAATTTAATCTCTTCTTTGATGTCTTTTATAACTCATTGTTAATTCAGTAGCATATTATTTAGTCTCCAGGTGTTGGAGTAGCTTTTATTATGTATTTTTTCATTGATTTCTAATTTCATTTTATTATGAGCTGATAGAATGCTGGATAGTTATCTCTACTTTTTTGTATTTGCTAAGAGTTGCTTTGTGGCATAGTATATGATTTTTAGAGAAGGATCTATGTGCTGCTGAGAACAAAACTGTATTCTCTGGTTGATGGATAAAATATTCTATATCAGTTAAATTTAAGTTATTGGTTGTATTATTATAATTGTTAAGTCTTGTTGGTATATGGTTCCCTTAAGCAATATGAAATGTCCTCTTTATCCATTTTGATTAACTTAGGCTTGAAGTCTACTTTATCTGATATGAGGATCGTGGTCCATGTGAATGGTATGCTTTTTCCTAACCTTTCACCTTCAGTCTGTGTATTTCTTTTCCTATGAGATGAGTCTCTTGGAGGCAGCATATTGTTGGGTCTTTTTTTAAAATCCAGTCTGCCAGTCTGTGTCTTGATTGGTGAGTTTAGGCCATTAACATTCAGGGTTATTATTGAGACATAATTTTTATTTTCAGCCATTTTTGTTTATTTTTGGTATCTAACTTGATTTGGTTTCTCCTTTGATCGATTTTTCCTTTAGTGTAATCCCTCCTTCTGCTGATTTTCATCATTGTTTTTCATTTCCTCCTCATGGGCTATTTTGTTGAGGATGTCTGTAGTGCAGGCTTTCTAGTTGTAAATTCTTTTTTGTTCATCATGGAAGGTTTTTGTTTTGTCATCAAATCTAAAGCTTAATTTTGCTGGATATAAGATTTTTGGTTGGCATCCATTTTATTTTCATTTTGAAATGTGGGATAGCATGAAAAGACCAAATTTAAGAGTTATCGGGATAGAGGAAGGCATAGAGTTCCAAACCAAAAGAATGAACAATGTATTCAATGAAATAATATCAGAAAAATTTCCAAACATTAAGAATAAATTGGAAAATGAGGCCTATAGGACACCAAACCAGGACACCAAATCACAGTAGATCCACACACCAAGGCACGTTATAAGAAAATGCTTAACATACAGAATAAGGATATAATTTTAAAAATCACAAGAGAAAGGAATCAGATTACATATAGGGAGAAAAATAATTAGAAGTAATACACAAATTTGGGGCTTCCCAATTATTTTTTACATATAATTTCTGATAGTCTTAGTGAAATGATTACTTGTTTGGTTTAATAGTAACTTCAGAACCACTAACGCACACCCAGGACCTGTGGCAGGAGCAGGCGGAGGTAGCTGCTGGACAGGCAGCATTTGGGATTGACGGTGAGTCTCCTTCGTGTTGGCTCCGGACCTCTGAAGGACTGCTGGTGGCAGAATCACAGCGCACAGGGCATGTCTGTGCACAGCTTTTTGTTCTGGTTTGGATTTTCTGTCAGGAGCACCTCTGCTTTCAGCTAGCAGGGCAGCAGGGATAATCCTATTGTGTGTTATATGTGCATTTTAGGAGGTGGTGCTGAGGTTAAAGAAGGCCATGGAACTAAGCCAAGAGTAGGTGGGTGGTAGGAAGCTGAGCCCAGAGGCAGAAACTGGTAGCCAGGTGCACTGGAGTTTCCCTCAGGAGGACACCTAGCAGCAGGCCCAAGGACAGGGCTCTGGCTCCTCCCACAGTGAAGCCACAGTGGAGCTCAGCACACAGTAAGCCTACCACGCTCTCTTATTTGGGCTAAATACCCCCAAACTAAATGGATGACCCTTCCCCAGGACATTGGCTCTAGGAAGCACTCACCTGTGCCAGCCACTGGGCTCTGCCTGCTCAGTGATGCAGAGTTTAACTCATTAAAATGAGACAGTGAGACACAGTGAGTTAAACTCTGCTCTGCATCTAAACAGAGATATGAAGAGAAAGCTGTAAGACACTGTCAGGAGCAACTGAAATCCTAAATAAAGGGAAGGCATGCATCATTGTCCTGGTTTAGGTTATTCAACATGTAGAAATTAAAAAATCCTTAGGTGGGATGATAGACGTTCATTCAGAGAGGTGTAAATTAGAATCAGAAAGGGCCGATGAGGCTGTGAATGGAGTGCTCAAGTTAGGAGAGGCCCAAGGAGGGACTCTAACTGATCAGGGAGATGTTCTGAAGGAGATGGGTGCCCTGGCAAGAGAGTCCAGAGTGCGCAGTGACAGGCCTGGGGAGGCCTGGCCTAGAAGGTGGGACTTAGATTGGCATGGGGTGCCACGGAGACCTCGGGCAGAGTGCTGGTGTGGAGCAGGCGTTTTGGGGTTGAGATGTGGTTGGAGGCTGGGGAAAGGAGGGTGAGTGGGGACATGGAGAATAGGCGCTATCCTCGCTGACAGGCAGTGGGGATCCCCAGTGGGGAGCCTTATCTCTGAGTAGAAGGCCCTTTCCCCTGGACCTCCTGACCCCAGTTGTAAAAGGGAGGTGTGCTTCTCACCCTGAAGGCAGCGCTGGTCTGTCGGCCATCCCCCTGGCTTCCACTGAGCATACCACTCTTACTTGTTGGGCATCAGGAGCAGTGACCTGCCCAGGTGATCTGGGCTCTCAATTTTGCCATGAAAAGGGTTTTTATGTATTCACTCTTTCTCCCTAAAATATTTTGAAAATCTAGGTTTGTGTTTTGGGCGTTACCAAACCTGGAGCCTGGCGCTGATGGACACATTCTGCAAGCACCTCCCTCGGTGGTGTCCTGAGGGCAGTGGCACCCTGGTGCCTGGCTGTGTGTCATTTGCTTTTGGAATATTCTTCTCAACACGTCACCGAAGGGACACAGAAGTCATCAGGGTAGTTGACTGCAGCTGAGCAGGCCCCGGGCTGCCTCAGTATGCACTCTCACGGACAGCGTGATGGTATGGGTTCCCCCACTCACCTCGATTCAGGAGATGGCACATGTTGGTGGTCTGTTCCTGTAACTGTTTCTACTGAAGTTGCAGATGACTACTCCTGGCTCAGCTTGCTTCCTACCAGGCCTTTTTTTTTTTTTTAATGAATGTTGCTTTCACTGGATTTTGTTAGAATAGGCCCTTAAGAGGATACTACACCTGAGGGAAATATCCCCCTTAAAAAGATCTAATCTTCCAGCCCCTCACATGGTGTCCGCTGCTCCAGCTGACCAGCTCTGCAGGGAGACAGTGTTGGCAGTCCCGGGGCTGGTTTCTAGGCAGCCCAGGTGGAACTTGCCTCCCAGGACTGTTCACATTGTGCCCTGGTGGCCGTTGCTCTGTGTGAGACTGGGAGTCGTCCTGCTCCTGCTTTCTAGCACGCTCTCCCCAGAATTCTTGTGGCAGGCACTGTTAGCATAGCTGAAGCCTTCAGGGAACCGTGGGTTTCCTCTAAGTGCCTGGTGTTCACTGTTAGGTTTTTTTGTAGCTAAAAACGTAAGTTAGGCAAGATTAGCCAAAGCCAGTAAGGTGACATTCAGAAGGGTTAACTGTGGTGTTCGCAAAGAGGGCAGAAAAGTCAGTTGTGTGAGCATGCGCCCTGGAGAACCAGCCCTCCACAGTTCATTAAGACGTGAACAAAAAGCACCTGAGGGTCTGCGTCTGCCACCTGCTCCACGTGAACGAGTGGGGCGGCTACTAAAAATAGGCATGTGTTTGAGCAGCATTAATAAACGTGGGTAATTGCTCCCTGTTGGTGCAGTTGCGCTGTACCTCTGTGTGGTGTTGAGAATTGGCTGTTTCCGTGGAAGTCCTCGTAAAGTGTGGCAGGTGCATGAAGCACAGTGACGCCTTCAGCAGAGCTCACTGACAGGAGCCCTTGTCCAGGAGTTCAGGAGAACTGTCCACAGAGCGGTGAGCTCCCATCACGGAATCTCTGGTCCATTTCAGGAGTCAGAATTGCTTCCCAGAATGTTCTTTGCTACCCTGATGACCAATGTCTGGCACGTGGTCATTGCCACGGTCATCCTCCAGGAAGCTGGTGCCTGAAGGTCCTGTGCCAGATGGGCAGGACAGCACCAGGGTCCTTTCTGCCATGGATTGTATGATTCTAGGTCCCTTCAAGGACCAGCAGTTTATAGGAAAGAAATGACTGACAAGCGAGTGTAGTAAGAGATTGGATTCGTAGATGTGGTGTGACCATAGCAACCTCATGACCTCTTATGTATTTCCTGTTGCTAGATTTTGACCTGGACATGATGGGTTTTAGTAGCAGTGTAATGAAAGGTGACCTCGCCCCTCCACTGATGACCAGGGTCACTCTGGCCAGTCTGGATGGTTTGTTAGGTGGCCCCGGGAGCCCTCATTCAGTCCAAGAAGGTTCCTCCCAGGTGGAATGGGCTGGGCTGTGCTGTGCAGTCTGGCTTCTGCGAGGAGCAGGGACCAGCTTTGGGCAGCAGCCAGGAGGGGCATGCACTCTGGCAGCCTTGCCCTCCTCAGCTTTGGGCCGAGTAGTCTTCTGCTCTGATTTGGCAAAAGCATAATAAGATGAGGAACATAAAAAAGAAGTAATGTGAGATGGAGTCCTCTGTCACATGGATGGGAAGGGCCACTGAGGGCCCTCACTGCCTGTGTCCTCTCTTCTGATGCGCCTCTCTCTTGCATTGTAGAGCACCAGAACTACTTTGGAATAGACGAAAACCTCGGCCCTGTGGCTGTCAGCATCCGGAGGGAGAAGGTGGAAGACCCCAAAGAGAAGGAAGGGTCCCAGTTCAACTACAGGGTGGCTTTCAGGACAAGCGAGGTAACAGAATGCCCTGCCCTGCAGCTGTCCGGGCTGAGTCTCTGGGGCACCACTGCTCTAGCCAAACGGGGCCTGGAGGGCGTTGATTTAGTGTATGACCACACATTTAAGGTAATTAAAGAAGGGTTGCAGGGTGTTATTCTAAGTGAAAAGTTTGGAAACCTGTCCCATATATTCAATGGTAATGATCTTGCTGCCACCTTACAAGGTAGAACAGGTAACAGGATAAAGACCGAGGCCTGGGGGCTAAGACACAGAGGACAAAGGTTATAATGCACATCAGAACCGAAAATTAGTTTAAAATCCAACATAAAACTGGCTGGCCTGAGATGGGTGAGTGTTCTCTGGTGCTCGAACCAGTCTGGGGACGCTGTGTACCCACACTCAGTGCACTGCAGACCCAGGTTAATTTCCGGCCTGACTCTTCTTAATGAAAATTCATATTGGTCATTTCTAAACATATATTGTATGACCATGTGAATGTGACACCGGAGGCCACTGTGTGGTGAATGTGCACTAACAAGACTGCCATGGCCCCCTGGTGCAGGATGGTGGCTCAGTGGGCAGCTTCACTGGTGGTACAGAGTCAGAGCTCATCTGCACTATGGTTTTGGTCCCTAGCCTGTTGGATCCAGAGGGGTGTCTGCTTGTTAACTGTCCGGAATGTATGTTTTGATGGACCACTGACATATCTGGGAGGAGAGAGCTCTGTCCAGTCCTGCAGCTTATGTGGGCACGTGTGGCCCTGTCTCTCGCCTGGGGTATGCAGCTGTTCTGGTGACCAAGGCTCCATGCTAGATATATACACATGAGATGAAGTCACTCTCAATGACATGGTGGAGTGCTGTCCTAAATAGATAACTAGGAGTAAGCACTAACTGCACTCTGGTGGCTGTTCCTATAGCTCACGACCCTGAGGGGCGCCATCTTGGAAGACGCTGTGCCCTCCACTGCCCGGCATGGCACCGCACGGGGACTGCCACTCAAGGAGGTGCTGGAGTACGTGGTCCCAGAGCTGAACACACAGTGCCTGCGGCAGGCCTCCAGCTCCCCCAAGGTCCCAGAGCAGCTGCTCAAACTGGACGAGCAAGGGGTGAGTATGGCGCAGGGGTGTTTGAGCCTGTGTCGTGTTTCTGAGACCTTGAGTGTCCTCGTTATCGGCTTTGAAAACTACTTCCTGTTAACACTTGGAGCTCTGCTCTGCAGTTTCCCCAGCACACCTTCCTCTAGTTCAGAAACCTGCTGCTGTGCGGCAGCCATCTCGGCTACAGTGTTGGTGTGTGCCAGCAAGCAGGAGTGCATCCCTCGCCTGAGAGTAGACAATGTGCAAGCCTGGTGACCCTTATGCTTATCCTTGTTTGCTCTGGGACAGTGCTGACAGATGGGTGTCCCAGACTGCATGAGGAAGACCAAGGCTGACTGGGACTTTGTCCCTCGCCCATAGGGGCAGTGAGGCCAAGACCACCAGAGCTTCCCCAGGCAGAGGAAGGAAGAGAGCTTGGAGACATGGAAGTGCGGTGAGCACCTGTGCAAATCTAGAGGAGGTGACCTTTTGCTGAGCCCTCCTTGGGTAGAGTTCATGGGTGCTACACGGATAACCGCTGCTCAAGAACCCTGACCATTCCAGTTTCTTTACAAAGAAGGAAGCTTGCGAGGTGGGGGCAGGGATACTAAGGTGAAGCAGAGCGTGGAGCCCTGGAATGCTGGCCAGGGGCTTGGGTGAAGGTCTTCCTCTGGGACAGCTTGGGGTAACAGGAGCTGTGTGCAGAGCGGGTTGTGCTGAAGAAGGGGTCACAGGCTGAGGAAGAAGGAGCGGTGGTGACGTGGAGCCCATCATGTGTTCATGGACACTGCCCAGGAGCCCACCAGTGCTGCACAGGCTGAGATGGTGCCCTGGTGGGTGGAAAGGAGTCTTTCATGTTTCATATGCAAAATTATTTGTAGGGGAAACTGAGCGGCAGGTGTCTGAGTGCAGATGATTTATTTTAGTGAGTGAATTTGTTTTTAAATCCAGGATTAAAATTTTTAAAAGGTAGTAGTCACGTGTACTTCCAGAATTTCCCAAGGAAAATATTTTGCATGTTTTAGAGGACTATGATATAAAGTCTTTCTAGGTAAAGTAACACCACACTGGCAGTGAGAAGCTGTATGGTAACACCCATATCAAATAGTCCTGAGATCTTACTGTCTCAAGAGCAAAACCTGGCATGTCAGAACATCAGGCCACACTCTGAACTTGAGTGGTCAGCCTTTCAAGTGGCAGGATGAGCAGAGTACGGTGACCCTGATCGTGGCTGGTAGAGCATGGGGAATAGGTAATGTCCTGGAAGCAGTCTTGGAAATGGGTTGAGGGGTAGAGAGGGTGTCTCAGGGCTGTCCTTTCCTCAATCAGCACAGGCTCCACAAGAGTAGTGCTCCGGCTAGGCCATCTGGGCAAGACTGTTTCTCCTTATGGTCAACCCCTCTTCCCCTTCATGGCCACTCAGCCCTTGTCCACCTGTTTACCTTCATGGCAGATTGCTCAGGAACAGACTTCATTCTGCCTTAGTGAGGCCCGTGCTCAAGGGGGTGCAGGGCCACAGTGAGGGCTGTGCTCAGAGGGGAGCTGGGCCCACAGTGAGGGCTGTGCTTGGAGGGGAGCTGAGCCACTCTGAGGCTGCATGCTCTAGATGAGGACTGAGCCACTAGGTACTCAGACTAGTTTCAAGACAATTCTGAGGCTTTGTTTTTATCACCTTGGTTTTAATTTAAATGTTTTTGTCAGTGATCACAACGCTTCTGGCCTTGGGTTACAGCAGCCAATTGTGATCCTGTGCAGAAAGGACAGGGAAACATGCTGGTTCTTCTGCGATCCATGTGTCCGTTCATTTAGGACCCTGACACCACGGTGGTTGTGACAGTGAGTGTTTTTGTCCACAGCAGTGCCCAGGCCCAGGGGCCAGCCTCCTCTCACCTAGGGCTGGTATATGCAGGGAGAGTGGTAGAATCTGTGGAGTGGGGTATGCTCAATAAAGCAAAGGTCAAGCAGCAGAGGTGAGACCCTCAGAGCAGTGCGTGAGAAGCCCAGCTAGCAACATTAGGTCCTGCAGCTGCTACTTGGGGCCCTGATGCTGTGTGTGCTATGACCAGAGCACCTGAGGGGAGGTGAGACTTATTTTGCTCCCAGTTTCAGAGGCCTCAGATCATGGTGGAGAACTGCATGGTAGAAATAGGGCAGGCAGGCAGAACTGGAAGTTTGCTCCCTCCAGGGCAGCCAGCAAACGGAAAGCAAGAGAAGAGGGTCCGGAGGACAGATGCATCTCCCACAGCCACACCTGCAGTAACCCACTTCCTCCAACCACACCTACCTGCTTACAGTCACCACCAGGAGTTCATTCAAGTTATTAATCACTAAATGGATTAATCCTGATGAGGTTACAACCCAAAAAGCCCCATTCAGAATCTTGCTTGCTGCATTGGGGACCTGCTTTCAGTCTATGAGCTTTTAGGGGGACACTTCTTATCCAAACTCTACCACTAGGTATCCTGATTCCACAGTCACTCACCCATCAGTGCTTATATGACAGTTGTGAATCACAAGAGTGACCCTAAGATAAGGTCTTGAAAGATGTCCTGACATTTATCATGAAATGCCATAGGCATTTCTATTATATTTCTGTTATGTATTTATTTGTTCAGTTTTTGGAGAAATTTCTTTTCTTGACCCTGCTAAAGAACCAGTTCTTTATTGACTTGGTAGCTTCTGCACATTGTCTCCCGCCCACACGGAGGTTGGGACCCTGGTCTCCACTGTGCAGTGGGGAACTGGTAGCTGAGTGGTGCCCAGGGCCTGGTGCTTTCATTGCCACGGCATCCATCACTGCACTGACTGTGCCTGGCCATGAGCAGAGGACATTCCTGCCACCCAGGGAGGTCACCGCAGGCAGTGTGTGTGGTCATTGGCCAGGAGTGCAGACGAGGTGCTGAACCTGTGCTGCCCTGGAAGTGAGGTCATCGTGCCATGTTTTACTGCAACAGCCAGCTGTGGGTTTGGATCTGAGGTTCTGCTTCACATCTTGGTGGTAGATGTGCATAGTGACGGACCCTGACTGTCTGTCCCTTTCTGAGGCTCCAGTGCTGGTGAGAAGGGCTCTGATTGCCCAACTGGGAAGCTTTCCTTGGAGAAAAACGGAGGCTGTGAGAGCTGACGCAGTTGTGCCCTGCCGTGGAGGGTGGGCCCCGCTTCCAGCGCCCTCGTGGGGATAGGGAGCAGTTGGGCAAAAGCCCACCCAGCGCTGCTGGAGCTCCTCCTGGCACAGTGCGTCTCTAGCAGACAGGGAAGGATGTGAGAAGTGGCCGTGGTTATTCAACCAGAGTTACTCCTGTGGAAACAAACAGCTCTCTGTTAATGCACATCTATCACAGGTCCCACTGGGATCTTTCCTTAGCAGACCTTCTTTTTAATTCTTTCCTGTCTTATGTGTTTTCATGAACGTTCAAATACACTAAAGAAGGAAATGGCATTAGAACCACAGGGGGAATCTTACTAAAGTTCATGGCCTTTCTCCTGCCTCTGCAGGCTGAGATCAAGTATTTGCCCCCTGGCCTGTTTATGGAGAGCACAAATCTGACTGACTATCCTTCTGGAACCCCAGCAAATCCCATACGATTGGCCGTTTGTTGGATCTCCTGAGGGCTTCCGACGCTTTTTCAGCTGTGTTTGGGGTTTCCTGGGTTGCTACTTATTTGTAGCACCTCGTACAGAGATTGTGCCTTCTTTTTTGTTCCTTTGCTTGTGGAAACCATTCTGTGTTTCCTGAGGACAGAGCTCCAGACTTCTGTTGTTCTCATTTTCACTGGAGTTAGCTCATCTGGTACTCTTTGCAAGTAATGACATTTCCTCCCCGTTTCAGCTGAGTTTTCAGCACAAGATTGGGATCCTCTATTGCAAAGCAGGACAGAGCACAGAGGAAGAAATGTACAACAATGAGACGGCGGGACCAGCTTTTGAGGAATTCCTGGACCTTCTGGGCCAGAGAGTGCGACTGAAAGGATTCACTAAATACCGCGCCCAGCTGGACAATAAAAGTAAGCTCCATGCCTGTGTGAGCTCAGGTCTGCTGAGTGGGGTCCCGGGTATGCCTGCCCTTGGCCCCGGGAGCAGCCCACCGAGCTTCTTGGGTCAGTGTGGATGTCCTCAGGTGAACAGGGAGCTCACTGGTCCTCAGGAAAGCAGGGGCTCATTTCTCAGTGGGTGTATGTCAAACATTGCGTGCCCGACAGCTAGTGCTTTGTGACACTAGCAGAGATTGCCCGTGTTTCCCAAAGAATCTCAGTGTGGTCCTCCCCTTTTGCACACCCACCTCTGTGACACCCTTATGTTGTCACATCACGGACCAGCACTGTGTTCATTGCTGAGACAGAGCATTGGCATATTCGTTGGTGCGTGTTACTGGGCTCATTCATTTACAGATTCATGAGCTGAGCAGTGGAGTTGAAGCAGTGAGGAGGAAACCAGGTATCCTTTCCTGAGTCAGGTTGCCTGGAGTGGAACACACATCAGCTCTCAGGGGCCAGATTGACCACCTGATTCAAATATGGGCTTTCTGCCCCCTGGGATATGTGAGTTGTCCAGCATCTTCCAGGTGTTCTGTGTGTTTCATCTTCTGCTGTTATTTGGTTGCTACCAGCACTTGAAATACTGGGCAACATAATTTTACATATTTGGGGAAATTCTTATTAGTTAGTTCCTGCTCTTTCACTGAAAGGAGATAAGTAGATGATAAGTCTGGGATCTGAGAGCTAGTGGGAGAGTGAAGCAGGAGCTGTCCCCATGGGTGCCACAGTATGGCCAGCCCTGGAGCAGAGCTGGCCATAGTGAGCCTGCCTGCCCTTCTTTTCTGTGTCCAGCCCTGCCCAGTGCCTGCTCGGCCTGATGCTCTGTCCAAATGAGGGTGGTGCCTGAGTCAATCCTGGGTTTTGATGTGTTTCTAAATTTGAATGGTGTTGCCTCACGTGGGCCCCGTGTCCTCCATGTGTGCCAGGTTGGAGCTTTTCCCCAGTGCATGTCTACTGCTCGTGCCCAGGTATATAAAGGCAGGGAAGTGACCCATGACACCGCACATGTCCACGTGCATTCAGAAGGATCCATGTGACCTATCCTGATTTTATTGTCTAACTCCCCTTTGCAAAAAACCACAGCTCAGCTGCTAGAGGCCACTGTGCTGCCCTGGGGACCTCCTTGTGGACAGCCACCGTGGACATAGCTCCTGTTGCCCTGGGGATCCTCTCTCTTCAGTGGGAGGCACTGAGAAATCCCTTTCAGAATGTGTAGTCCGTGAAGTGTGTGGCACAGTGTTTTCCCTTGTGTAGAATTGACAGCAGCCTTGTGACCTCAGCAAAGTTCCCAGTGCATCAGCTCAAGGAGATGAGAACATAAAAACCAGATTTCGATAGGTCAACTCTGATGATCAACAGGTCTTTACTTTTAGGAGCAAGACTCTCCTGAGATGCGACGAAGTGTGATGTTCCTTAGTTGAGAGGAAAGATCTAAGAATTAGATATCTTAAAGTCAAATAAAAATGTTGTCTCATGGGATAAACGAGGAAAGATTTTCTTTCTGCAATTCAAGAAATTGGGTACCACATTAACACTCTGTAGGACTTGATTCAAGTCTGGACCCAAGAAGAATGGAATAGGAATGGGGCTGACCACTGAGACACCCTCGTCACCTGGCAGGAGTGACCAAGTCAGGGCGACACCCCCTTGCTCTCTGTTGCCAGCCACCTGAGCAAGCCTTGTTGGTTTCCTCTTTCCGTTGTGTGCTGGTGTCTGGGGTAAACCTTCACAGCACTCCCTTGGCATGGCCTCTGGGTGCTGCTGGGCCAGGCTGGTTATGTCATAGCCCCAGGAGCACTACTCCCCCGGGCTCTCACCTATCTCCCACCTGGGATTGGGGGTCAGTGAGTCTGCCCTATCTCACTGTGGCTGAGCTCCCGCATCCTAGCTGGGTCCACTGTCAAGCTCTGAGCCAAGAGCGTTCAAGGGGATCATTGCTTCCTGAAGTCCTGTGAAGAAGGGCAGTGTGTGTTTCCTGAGGGTCCACAGACGGTTCCCTCATCTTGGCTACTGATGGTCGTGTCAGCAGGTGTCTTCCAGGATAGCCAAGAACCACACAAGACTTGTTCTAGATAATGTCTGGACTGTCTCCAAGTCGGATGTAAATACCAGAGAGTCATGCTACAGGGCTCAGAAGGAAAGCAGTGGAGGCCCATGAAGGTTGAATATATTTCTATTTCAAAGTAAAAATTTTAAACTAAAAAAGATTTACCCAAAATGACTGCTCAAAGGTTTCCTCAGAAGGTGCAGCAGGGAACGCACAGGTGAGCAGCGTCATCTCCTGCTGTTTAGGAAATGGAAGAGTCACAGTAGCCAAGGAGACACTGAGGGGTGGTCTTGCTCCTGAGCAAGTATCTGTCTTCATTGGCCTTGTGCAGAGTGGTCCAGAACTTCTCTCCAGAATTATTTTATCATTGAAATATTTTAGAGTTGCTGAGTTGATTGGAAAGTCTGAGACTCAATCTGTGGCAATCTCACGGATCACACAGATGGTTTTTAATTTGCAAAGAATCATTGTGCTTGACAAACCCTGCATGATCAGCAAGGTTAAGGTGTTGGGCAAAAGATACAGTAAGACACCACTCTTCTCATTCTCCATTTAAAAGATGTGTCACTGCTGCCGTTTTCGGGTGAAAGAAGAAAAGGTTGCATCCTTTAGGGAAAGAAAGTTTTAAAGTAACACTTTGTTCCCATTTCTGTGTTGTCAGCCCTACTTCATTCTTCTGTGTTCTGGAAGGTCATGTGTCCCCAGATGATGTAGAAATAACAGTAAATGCACACATAAGGGTGTGGCCAGCTTCTGGCTGCCCAACTGTCACTTTCAGGTGCTCCACCGGGGTCTGGGTGGGCCTGGCACCTTCCCCCTCACTACAGACCAAGGCCAAAGCACCTAGCCCTGGGTGGGTCCTGAGGTCCAAAATGAAGAGGAGCAGGTCGAAGCCACACACAGTATCGAGAGGGTGGGGAAAGCAAAAGCCCTCGGGTGCCAGCCTCAGTGGGAGGTTGTAGGCACTCCTCCCGGAGCTTCCAAGCTGCAGGCGGGAAGGTGGGCGAGCGGCAGCCTGTGCTACCGGTTCAGTGTGGCATCTGTTTTGTAGTTGAGTCACCTCTTGTGGGAATGACCTTCTCAGTGTCGATGCCCACAATCTGCCGTGGCCTAATTTCTTTTGTGATTAACCTTGGTTTCCAGCCGACTCCACGGGAACCCACTCCCTCTACACTACGTACAAAGACTACGAGCTCATGTTCCACGTGTCCACCCTGCTTCCCTACATGCCCAGCAACAGGCAGCAGGTACGTTCTCCCCCTCACTTCTTCCGGGCTGGCCGCAGGTGTGGGTGGTGCCCTGGGTTTGCAGACCAGTAAGGGAGGTTCTTCTTGCATAGCATTAGCAATCTTTGACTCTCCTGGAAGTGTTTGGGTTTTAAAAGGAGCATCATTGCAGTTATTCGCCATAAAGCTCAGTCTTCTACACCTTTATTGGGTGTTGGCAGAATCTCAAAAGAGACCTGCATCAACTGTGAGAGTTACAGAAAGGCCAGCTCCCCGGCACGACCGAGGTTTCTGTACACGGGTAAATGACTTCTTGGAAAAAACACTGTTCACAGTTGTTGCTGGTTTATTTTGGCTGTTCTTCCTCATTTAGTTTCATTGTTTTAAGTGAGTTTATTGACATTTTAAAAGAGAAAAAAATCACTGTGCCTTATGCTTTGAATGTAGCCACTAAAAATTAAGAACCTTTGAAAACTTGAATGATGCCTAAAACATCCTAAAATAATTTACATAACGCTTTAGAATAGCTATAAAATGGGCTGAGCAAGTTCTTTTGCAGAAATTACTAGAAATCGTAGCTCTTGTTCCCGAGCCGAAACCCTCACAGTGCCGAGCCTGCCTGATACGAGGACCCTTGGGGTAGTAAGGAGCTGCATTTGAGAACCGCTCTCTGGGAGGGGCGTTTCTGCCCCATCTTGTGTGAGTCTTGGGCTGTCCTGAGTCAGAGCCGAGGCTGAAGCAGGAGGGCTGTGCTGGTCTCTGAAGGTCGGCCCCAGGCTCCCTGGCTGGGCTTAACACAAAGATGGGACTGTTGGGCTAAAGCCAGGATGCTGACTGCTCGGTCTTCTGCTTGGAAGCAGACCTCCTGATGTCACCTACTCCTCCTTGAAGGGCCATACTATTTTTAGGTGCCAAGGACACACAGGTGTTCTCTGGGGCATTTGTCCTGTGAGTGAGACCTAATTGTTTCAGATCATTTTTCTCATGTTTTTTATAAACACACATGAAATCTACAAATTTAGTCAGAATCTGTGTGTGTGTGTGTGGGGGGGGGGTTGTTGTTTTTCTGGAGAAGAAACCAGCCACCTCCTCTCCTTCCTCCAGCAGCATGGGCGCTTGGCCCAGTTCTCAGGCTCTTCCAGTTAGTCTCCTCTTCGTCCCTCTCCTTATGGTCATTGTGACCAGGATTTCTTGGTGAATTTTTGGTGAATCTTTGCTCAATCTCTTGTCTTGTCCCAACCTTCCATGGTGTCTTCTAGCAAGCCTCCGTTCCCCCACCCCCTGGGCGGCTCTGTCTCTGGGTTCTGTATCTGCACATTCCTCTGAGATGGAGTGCATCTCTACACCCTCTGCATGTGTCTGTTCTGCCTTGAAGAGCTTTGAACTCCAAGTTATTTATTTGGAATGATGCTGAACAGATACGCTGGGCATCATGGGCTTGAGATAGGCTAGCCTGGTTGTCCAGCTGCAACTCATTCAGTAATTAAACCCTGGGATTTGGTGCCCAGACGCTGATAGGGCTTGTTCAGGCCAAGAGATGCTGTCGGTGTTGGTAGAGGTGGATCCAGCGCAGGCACTCAGACCTCCAAGCTGCTGGCTCGCTGAGCACCTGAGCCCCTGAGCCCCTGGACTCCACACAGGCAGGCCCAGCCTTCCACAGAGGGCAGTCTCTGGGCTTTCACCACTTCTGTCACCAGAACTCAAAACTGACCCACCCTATTTCATTGTTTAGTAATTGGGGGACTTTGGGGTTCTCTGTTCCTGACTTTATTTCATTAAATTTTCCTGAAAAAATTCTGTATACAAAAGTCAGAAACTCCGTAGAACCAAGAAGAGAGTGGAGCTCTGGATAGAAGTGATTGGTGTGTTCTGCACTTTCCAAAATGGGGATCAAAGGGAGTCTCTGCAGTTGCTATTTGTAAGTGACTGTAGCCTAAAGACCTGCTCAGATGGCAACTCTGTGTCGAGCTTGAGTGACAGGCCACGAAATGGTCTGGATCTGCTGATGGGCTGAGGTGGAAACAGGGGAACCTGTGGTTCCATTGCACTTAGTGTCTGTGGGACAGTTATGATCTTGGATGTGGCCCTGGGAGGTCCTGCGTTTGTTCCTATAGCCAGGAGCTGATTCTGGTCCATTAGAAGTCTTGAGTCTGGAATGCCTCTGACTCTTCGGGGAGGCTCCACTAACCCAGGACAGTGAGAAGCTGCTCAGGGAGTGCTCCCCTCCTCGCAAGCGAGGCCAGGCCTGTGGGGCAGTCTGTTCACCTTTCCAGGGCCGTGTGCGCCCCGTGTGCACGTTTCTGCTTGCTCTACAGACACCTGGTGAGTCAGCTGTCATGGGTTGTCATCAGAGGGAGGAGCTTCACAGGCAGCCCTAGACTTCTTTGGCAGAAACATCCTTTCTTTGGACGAGGCATGTGACAGAGGGAGGCGCTCTGGTGCTGGCACCCAGTGACCTTTGCTTTTTAGTGCAAGCTGCTGTGCTTGGAGGAGTTAGGAGCCCCTGAGGTACCTCTGCAGTGAGGCCGACCCCTACGGTTCAGAGATCTCGCTCCCGTAGCCTTGATGCCACAGCGGAAAGAGCGCAGAGCTCGTCAGGCTTGGGCCAGCCAGACAGACCCTTCATCCATGTTGACTGGACCTGTGGTGGCCCCTGCAGTGGAGGGCTTGCACACAGCCCTGGTGGACGCTGTGGAGGCCTGCTTTCTGTGCCAGCTGGGCGGGCCTGCCTGTACTTGGCTTCTCCTGTGAACCCTCCATGGGAGCGTCCACCAGGAGGAGAGCTTTGTCCCAGCCTGCAGTGGAAGAGGAGCGAGTAGTCACCAGACCTTCAGGGTCCTGAAATCAGAAGAGGGGCGCGAGCAGCTCATTCTCCTGTATCGTGAGGTCACTGAAGCCTGAATTCCTGGCTTGCCTTTGCTTCTCCAGGTGTGAGTCCTTCAGATTTGCTTACCTGGTTTGTAGGTGTGCTCCGCCGTTGGTAAAGTCTGTGGTCGATACAAGGGGGTAAATTTTTCAAATGACGCACCCTAGAAATGCAGAGAGGGCTTCCTGTGATCCTCATTTTCTGAGGGAAGAACCATCAACTAGCTTTGCTTTGCTTTTGCCTGGGGCTCCCAGACATCCCTTCCGTAAGTACGTGCCTTTCGTACTGAGGTGGAGGTGTGTGGGCTGCCCTCTTCTCCTTGTTATGGTGGAACCAGGAACCGGGGGTGGTTACGGGGTCTCGCAGGCCAGAAGGGACTGGATCAAACAGGTTGGCCCTGCTTGGTTGACAGGGCTTGGATTAGAACCCCAGGGCCAGGATCGAGAACCCGGGCTGCTCTTTGTGGGCTATAGATGTGTTCTTCCTGAGGTCTCACGTAGGGACCCACCTTCCCCAGCTTCTGACACCCCACTGCTCCTACTCATATCGTGTAGCCCCTGAAATGAGGTGCAGGCCTCTTGTTTCTTCCTTCTGTTAAGATAAAAGAGTAAATAGTTCAGCCTCTGAAGCCTTCGCAGAGATTGCGGACCCCACCTTCTGCAGCGCGGCCACTGGATCAGAGCGGTAGTGACTCTGGGACCTGGTCATGGCTGTGTGCAGCACTGAACCTGACCCCCAGGTACTCTGGTGGCCATGCGGTGGGGGGAGTCAGCCTCCCTCTCCTGGTCACACTGGGGCTTGGGGATTTGGTGGGACCTGCTGTGAGCCTGAAGCACGGCCTCTGTGAACTCACTGCCGCAGTCAGAGACGCCCGCTGGCTCTGCTGCCTGCACTGAGAAGCGTTGTCAGCTGTGCGTGTCCAGGAAGAGCCCACCCAGGAACCGCCTCTTCCTGGTTCCCCAAACAAACGATGCCCCTGTCTCGCCAGGCCACGGCTGTTCACGGCATGCTAACCTCCCCCCTCGTTAGGACTGAGTCCACAGAACTTCACTGCCCATTGAGGAAACCCAGGAACTAAGTACCAAATAAAATGTTTGCTCTTACTGAAGCTCATGAAATGACTTGTTTCATGTTTCACAAAAACCTTAAAACAATGTTATTAATGTTCAGGATGTTTTATTTCTTGAGTCTCTGAACTTGAGGATTCTTTCGGTAGGGCCTGTTTCTCCTAGCTGAGTCCTCTCCAGAGAGCTCTAGGTTTCACTCTTTCTTACTGCCCTTGTGACCCCCAATTTCTGTTCCTATGGTGCAGTGCGTTATGTGGCCATGATGGAATTAACTAGACTTTTAAAGACGTTGTTTGGCCTGTTTTATCAAGTAAAAGAATATGCTCAGCAGGGCACTAAGGCAGGGTAGCCAGTGTGGCAGCTGGATTTAAAGCTCCCTCAGCTCGTGTGCGAGTGTTTATGGTGAGGCCCAGCATGGGACCTGGACATAGGACAGGCCGTGTCCAGCAGGGACATGGAGCAGCCTGGCATTGCAGCATGTGCCTACAAAGCTCTGGGCAGCAGGTGAGTGCTTGTCAGTATAGCCTGGTGCTGACTCAGGCAGAGGTGGGGAGCCTGCCGGCCCCCATCTCCCCACCACCCAAGGGATGCTGTGTGTCAGGTACTGACAGGCAGGCAGCCTGGGCCTCTGACCTTCTCTCCACAAACACACTGAACATGGCCTTGCTTCGCCTGTCCTGTTACACAGGTGAAGGGAATCTGCATTTCCGCTCTGGGGGAAGAGGGAAGAATGTCTTTGCCTCCTACAGTTTCCACTGACTTTTTAATACACATTTGAAATGCCACGTTTTACTTAAAGATCTAACAAACATTTTTAAAACTAGATTTAAGCGAGTCGCCCACTGAGTCTCATCAGGTCCACTTAGACGGCACAGTGAGCAGTGTGTGTGCGGCTTTACCCGTGGGGTTTGGACTGGAATTCTCCAGTGTTTGGGTCAGCAATTTCACTGGCTATAGAAAACTCTGATGGAGTGATGCTCCCTCCTCACTCCTCCAGGCCATTTGTCATGCTACGTTACCAGGGAGGGACCTGGCAGGGAAATCTGTATGCATCTGGGCTTAGAGAATTAGAAGTTGAACCTGATGCTCTTCACAGTGGAATATGCTCTGTAGGTGCCAAATAAACTCCAGGGCACCATCCTCGTGGAAGAGAGTGATTGCCTGGGGTGGTCCTGTCTTGCCTCTGTGTCGCCAGCTGGATGCTGGCCTCCCCAGAGGGCCTGGCATGTGGGTGTGCTTCAGGAGTTCACAGGAGAGGCAACTATAGCCCGAGGCTCACTGGTATGTGTCAGTAAGCGTGGGTTCTGCCCTGGTCCATCAATGGCAAAGCCCTGAGGAAGGGCTTCTGCAGGGGAAGTGAGACCCTTGGTGACTGCTGAGCTGTGGCAGGTGTTTGAAGCGAGGTGCGGGTTTGGCAGAAGGAACCTCTGAAGTGAGTGCACCCAGGTTCACGATAGCTAAGATGTGGCATTGGCCAGGTGTATATCAGCAGATGAGTGGGCAAGAAAGTGTGGCGATGTACACTGGAGTGGTATTCGTCCCTAAAGAACAAGATCCTGTTGTTTTTGGCAAATGGGTGGGGCTGGGGGACATGATGTTATGTGAAATAAGCTAGACACAGGAGGACAAGTGCCACCTTCTCCCCATAAATGGAAGGTAGACATCGTCAACCTGCAGATAGACCAGTGACTGCTAAAGGCTGGGGAGGTGCAGGGGGCGGGGGGTGGGTTTGGTCAGTGCACGCTGTACTGGAAAGTACCACACTGACCTCCCTTGATGTGTCCACTTAGTACGTGTTAATAAAAGGGCGGGTTCTTAGAATGTTACTGCTCTGGGATTCCTTCTCTTCTGCCAAACTCGTGATTTCTCAGATTACAAACTCTTGGGTCTTCGGCAGTCGGTCTGGTGGAGTTCTGTATTGTGGGATACATTTAAAGGCCAGCGTCTGGCCAGTTAGTTCAGCGATACTGCCACCAAAAAGACGGCCCTGTACCGTATCGCAGGAGCCTGCACTGGTGCTGAGCCCGGGGCAGTGGGGCCTCGGCAGACCTGTCCCTCCTGGTACTCTGGCTCCCCCTTGGATTTGAAGAGTTTAAACTATAAAATTTCTTCAATGTCTTGAGCTATAATATGCAGTTCTTAGGATTTTAAAAGGGAGCTATGTGAAGATGAAGAGTAGAGCCCACCCAGTCTGGATTTTAAAGTCGGAGGTGAGCGTGGCCTTCCAGGTCCTCCTTCCTAGGCCCTCTGACGCAAACTGTCCTGCTCTCTCTGAGCAAGGTTGAAGAGCCCTGAGCTTCCGGGGCGGGTCTCCTTCTGCACCTCCTGTGTGGAGAGAAATGTGTGCACGTTGCTTCATGTCCTGCCCCTCATATTGTGTGTGCTTCTTTGGCCGTAGCTTCTGAGGAAGAGACACATCGGGAACGACATCGTCACCATCGTCTTCCAGGAGCCAGGGGCGCTTCCCTTTACCCCCAGAAGCATCCGTTCCCACTTCCAGCACGTCTTTGTCATAGTGAGGGTGCACAACCCGTGCACCGAGGGCGTGTGCTACAGGTGAGGCCAAGCCAGTGCCCGCCCCGCGGGGCCTCGGCCTTCTAGTCACTCTCTCCTGCCCCACGGTTTTCTAGTCCTGCTTCTCAGTTAATCATTCAGCTTCTTTCTGTGAGAAGTAATTGCCTCCTTCCCATCTGCCCCCATGTCAGAAGCAAAAGCAGGGTTGGGGTGTAGCCCAGTGGTGAGCGCTCACCCACCACGTGCAGGGTGCTGGTCCCCGTCCCAACACGCACATGTGTGCACATGTACACACAAGCAAACCACCGAGAGGTCAGAGGGGTAGATTGCGCACTTTGTTTGCCCCGCTGGACCCACCCTAAAATGGCGCCAGCCTCTAAGTTGGGCCATATAGCCAGGGAAGTCTTCCTCCTGTTGGGGAGGTAAGCCCAGTGGCCCTACACCACTGTTTGTCAGAGGTCCTGGGGACACTTCTCAGACACGGCTGCTGAGACCAGGCCTCCAGCAAGCTGTGGTGACCTGTGTGTCCCGTGGTACCCTGAGGCCATGCTAATAAGGCCTGCTTTTAGTCTACCCTCAGTCTGGGGCTGTCCCGCTGCAGCTGGATGGCCAGTTGCATGGGTGGTGAGGGGACTTCCTTCCAGGCTGGCCTCCACCACTGCTTGCCGTGGCCTCACTGACCTTGTCTGGCCTTGTCTGAAAGTAGAGAGCTGTGGTGCTGGCTCCAGAACGTGGCTGTAAGAATGGGTATCTTAAACTGAGCAAAACACCCATGGGGTTCCTGACATTCACCCAGGCTCGCTCTCCTGAACAGTCTTTAAGCGGTCATTGCCAACCCAGCTGGCCACAGATGTGAACCATGTGGAAGGGGTGGAAGGGGCCTGCGGGGACAGCAGACCACGCCTGGAAGGCAGAGAAGACCAGTCTGTCGGCCCACCTGCCCAGCCAGCACATCTGAAAAGAGCAGTCTGAAAACCATAGTTCTTAGCCCAGTCTGGCTCTAAGGCACAGGTTCCATAGTGATAGGAGTGGCTTTCTCCCGTAGCAGGAGGGTTCTGTCTTCTGTTCCCATAGCAGTCTCACACCCTGGGCTTAGACTGTTGGCCTAAGTGCTCAGGAGTGCTTTTAAGAAAAGGATATAATTAAAAATATAATGTATTACCAGGTGCAGTGGCACACACCTGTAATCCAGCAACTTGGGAGGCTGAGGCAGGAGGATCGCAAGTTCAAACCAAGCCTCACCAAAAGTGAGGTACTTAGCAACTCAGTGAGGCCCTGTCTCTAAATGAAACACAAAATAGGGCTGGGGATGTGGCTCTGTGGTTGAGGGCCCCTGAGTTCAATCCCTGGTACCCCTCTCACCAAAACAGTATCTCTCTTTTACAAGTGATGTGCTTAAAAGAGAATATTGGTGCAAACATGGCACATTGGCCTTTTGCCTGGGATCGCACCCAGGGAACCGTTCAGTGTAATCCGGAATTTTTCAGAATGGTCTGGAATCTTAGGCCTGGAGCTATTTTATTGGCTGCTGTTTTGGGGTCAAATCAATATTTTACCTTTTTGCTTATCTCAAAAGATGGTTCATTTGCACAAAAGTTCTTAAAGATAAGAAAAAGCCATTTTTTCTTATAAACTTTCTGGTTTTAATTAAATTACTAGAATAATTTCAGTTATTTGAAACCCAGCACACTGAGTCATCTTTCTGTGGCAGAAGATACTTGTGCACAATCTGTGGGACACAATCACTGATTTAAACAGCACACTGTGACCACGAAGGTGACGTTTGCTGATGAGGTTAGACATACAGTCAACAGAGTGCCTCCAGTTTCTGAATCGCCTCCTCAGCTTTATTGTTGGCGGACCAGAACCTATAGCCAGTGGGTGTGCTTGCAAGGTAGGCTTTGGCACGTTCAGAACCTAGATGTGGAGCTGCAGCTCATCAGTGTTGTTTTCCTTTCTTCTTCAGCGTTGGTGTTTCCAGATCCAAGGACGTGCCACCATTTGGTCCCCCAATTCCTAAGGGTGTAACTTTTCCAAAGTCGGCAGTATTCCGGGACTTCCTTTTAGCCAAAGTAATCAATGCAGAAAACGCAGCCCATAAATCAGAAAAATTTCGAGCAATGGCCACTCGAACAAGGCAAGAGTACTTGAAAGATCTGGCAGAGAACTTCGTCACCACGGCCACAGTGGACACCTCTGCCAAGTTCAGCTTCATTACCCTGGGTGCAAAGAAGAAGGAGAAAGTGAAGCCCAGGAAGGACGCCCACTTGTACAGCATTGGAGCCATCATGTGGCATGTGGTGGCCAGGGACTTCGGCCAGTCCACGGACATCGAGTGTCTCCTTGGGATTTCCAATGAGTTCATAATGCTGATTGAAAAGGACTCCAAGAATGTGGTGTTTAACTGTTCCTGCAGGGATGTTATTGGGTGGACGTCTGGACTGATGAGTATCAAAGTATTTTACGAGAGAGGAGAATGCATCCTCTTGTCCGCAGTGGACAGCTGTGCTGAAGACATCCGGGAAATCGTGCAGCGGCTAGTGGTGAGTACACACGTTGTGTTTCCCACCGAGTCCTAACAGGCTGCACCAGGGAAATTACACCAGGGCTTCAGCCCTTAGGGAGCGGCTCCTCCTAACAGACACGCTTAGTTTTAAATGTTGGTTCTCCTGGGAGTTACGGAACTCCAAACATGGAGGAGCACCCGTCAGAAATGATCAGGAACATTAAGCCAGTGTTCAAAGGAGAACATAGGGTCCTGTTCTTCTGATGTTTGAGGGAGACTCCCATGGGTGGTATGGCTGTGGGGAGTGACATTGTCACCTTCTTGGTCAGTGAGTAATGGGCACAAAATTGCTGTTCACAGGCAAGTGAGTCTCTGCAGTTTCAACCCTGCATATGTTTGCACAGCAGGTATTTTTGTTTAAATATCTTATATAGATTAAATATATTACCATTCAGCCACAGTTTGTTGAGGAGGTTTTATAAAATTAGCCATTAAATTAAAAGAACCCGTGAACAAGAAATGTCTTGAGATGTTTTATAGATATGGTTTTCAATACAAAGCCCCTAAGTCATGTTCTTGGTGTTTGAACAGTTGTGTGTTTCTGCTCCCAATTTTAACAAAGTGAGATCCAGATTTTAGCTTGCATATACACAATATAGTAAAGTGAATAAACCCAACCATGCTGCTTTAACCATAGACTGTCTCATGTAGATTTTCCTGTAAAAGAATGTGTTATGTTTTAATTAGAAAAGTTAGTTAGCTATGAATCATGAGAAAAGAAAAATTTTCCATTTCTTCTCACCACCAAATACACGTCTCCCTTTTGTTGTGAAGCTCTGTATAAGCAAGAGTAAGGTCATTTTGGTGTCTGGGGCTTTAGAGAGATGGTGTGTCCCTGTGCAGACACTTCTCAGGGAGGGCCTCAGTGCCTGGTCAGGTGTGTGTGGACCCAGATGGAGCATGGGGACGCTTGACTGGTCACCCTGTGTGCCCACAGGATTGGCTCTTGAGCCACACTGGGGGTCTCAGCTAGGCTCTCGGTAATTACAAATATTTTGTGTGTGGGGGGGGGGGGTGCCAGGGATTGAACCCAAGGGCACTTGGCCACTGAGCCCCATCCCCAGCCCATTTTTGTATTTAGAGACGGGGTCTCACTGAGTTGCTTAGCACCTCGCCATGGCTGAGGCTGGCTTTGAACCCATGGCCTTCCTGACTCAGCCTCCTGAGTTGCTGGGATTACAGACGTGGCCACTGCATCTAGCAGTGTTTCTTTTACCATCATCTTCTATGTAGGCATAATCTGTGGTCCTAGAAGTATAGCACCAATGCCACGTCCCCAGTCACCAGAAGCCCTTCCATAGCTCCATGTCCCCCTGTTCCCTGGACCTGCCTTGCCATTTCCTAGACGTTACCAGACTCCTAGAGTCACTAAGATACTTAAGGTCAGAGATGTGTTTGAGGATGACCTGGAACATTAGAACCACTGAAGGGCCCCAAGCGTGAGGGTGGGGACGGAGTGGCAATGACAGTAGTGGGGGAGGGGCTGGGAATGACAGCCCGTGTGTCAGGTGGTAAACCCAGCAGCCATCACTCAGCAGCAGGCATGCTCACAGGTGCCTGTTGGGCAGCCAAGACACAGGACAGGAAGGGGAGCTGACGCCCGAGGGACAGGCAGGCTGGCCTGTAGATGTGCCACCCGTGAGTCCCACAGGGTTGGCTCTCAGGAGATCCCTGGTTGGTGTGCAGAGCTCTACTGTGGCTTTCTTGGGATTCTTGATAATTTTTGAGTAGGCAGCTCGTGTTTTTATTTTGGGCCCACAAATTATGTAGCCATCCTGGGTACGTGACGAGGCGGCCACTGTCTTCATGTGGTCACTGAGTCCATGTAAGTGTATGAGGAACTCCAAATGCATGGAGAGCACAGTCCTTGAGACTTTGAGATGTTCCGAAGCAAGGAACAGAAGCTTCTGATTATCCCAAAGTCTCAAAGACTATGAAAGTCAGGGAGGTAGCAGGGGGCTGGCGATGGGGAGAGACCGGACTTGGGCAAGCTGGGCTGAACACTCTTCAGCTGACAGCTGCATCAGCATCCCAGAGAAACCAGGGCACTTTGCAGATGGCATCTCTTGGTCGGGTCGCCCAGAACACAGTGGAAAAGAAATGAAGGAAAACTTTATTGAGGTTGCGTGTGCAGCAGAAGTGCTTTGTCAACAGTTTTTAATTATTTTAGTTCACAACCTGAGAACTTCAGTCTTTCAAAACTTGCCCCAACACTAGCTAGCAATCCCATTCCCAATTCTTTTTTTTTTTTTTTTTTTGTGGTGCTGGAGATTGAACCCAGGGCCTTGTGCGTGTGAGGCAAGCACTCTGCCAACTGAGCTATATCCCCAGCCCCCATTCCCAATTCTTCTGCGTCCCAAATGCCACACTTTCCGGGAGAAGCTGATGGGCAGTGTTTGATAACCATGGAAACGGGCACAGGGCTGGTAGCAGAGGCAGCCTAGTCCCACAGCTGGAGCGCAGTCCTGAGTCTCGTTAAGCAGGTGTTGCTCAGAGCCTGTCTTGGAAATGGAGCATTCGTCACACTGGGGCTTCCACAGCCCTGGCCAGAGCTGGGTCGTGACACCTCCCAACTTGAAAAGGCCCACAACAAAGTGGTGTCCCAGTCATCAGAGGGCATTCAATGAGCCTGGGTCTCCCTTCCGTGGTCTGCCATGCTTTCTTCAGTGCTCCTGAGGGCCACAGTGACTCATTGCTGGTACTTACTGCCCAGTGGGACAATGCCATTCATTCCCTGGTTCTTTTTTGTGGGACTGTGTAGGCTGCCACTCCTCAGGAAGGATATGCACTGGAGCCCCTCTTGGTGCTGCCCTTCGCCCCCGGGCCTGGCTACAGGCACAGATGGTCCCACTGCTGTGCCATCCTGCACAGTGCCCGTGTCAACAGATTGCCAGGAGTCTGGCTGGCATACCCCACGGTTAATCTGAGGGCCCTCACCATTCAGCCCAGCACCAGCAGACGCTCCCAGGAAGGGTCCTGGGAGGTGACTCAGGATGCCCGCAGGCCATCCATGGCCCTCCTGGTCCAGGGCAGTCACGAAGCCTGGGCTCATGAGTGCTTTGGGCCACATTTTTGTAGTTGAATGAAGTTGACAAATTGGTTTCAGGGCTTAATGGTTGAGGCTCATGGTCTCACTGTTGCCGTAATCCATCTAGGACAGTGGAAATCTGTGCTTCAGAGCCCAGTCAGTTGGCACAGAGGCAAGGAGGACGTTGCCAGGCCTGTGCTGAGCTCGCCTGCCGTAGTCAGTGGCATCTGTAGTCTTGGCCCTTGAAGAACAGGACCTCGCTGTGCTGGTGTTGCTTCCTTTGAGGCTGTTCTCAGGGCTAGTTGTGCTGACCTTGAGGGCAGGACAGGAGGGTGGTGCTCTCCAGCCCCTAGTCCCTGCCTGCTGAGGTGGCAGCCCACTGTTCAGCTTGGGGCTGTGTCGGGCAAGGTCCACCTAACAGAGCTCTTCCCTGCAGATAGTGACACGAGGCTGCGAGACTGTGGAGATGACCCTGAGGAGGAACGGGCTGGGCCAGCTTGGCTTCCACGTGAACTTTGAAGGAATCGTGGCTGATGTGGAGCCATTCGGCTTTGCCTGGAAGGCTGGCCTGCGCCAAGGGAGCCGCCTGGTGGAAATCTGTAAAGTGGCTGTGGCCACTCTGACCCATGAGCAGATGATCGACCTGCTCCGGACTTCCGTGACGGTGAAGGTGGTCATCATCCAGCCACATGACGATGGCTCACCCCGCAGGTAAGGCCCAGCAGGCCAGGCAGTGCCCACGTCTGTTGAACTCTTCACGGGTCCTCTAAATTGTAGTTGGGTTTCTCTGTGGATGGAGTTGGGATGTCTGCCACTAGAGCAGCACAGGATGAGCAGTGGAAAGGTCCTTGCCGGGTTCTGAAGGAGAAGTTGTGACTTCCTAAACAGCCTGACGGGACCCTGGCAGCATGCAGACCCAGGGAAGGGCCCTGGCCAGAAGGCCTGGCCCATAAGGTCTGCTTTGTGAGGAGACCCTTCCAACTAGCACTGCCACCAGCAGGCCACTCAATTCTACACAGCGAGCCGTTTTCTGTGGCATGACATCCTCAGTAATAACAAAGACGCCCGTGACCACTACTGTGTGTCTGGGGGACTATATCTCCACTCCTACCCTGTGGCCACTACCAATCATGCAGAAGGCAGCCCCAGAGGTATTCGTTGTCCAGGGGTTCTCATAGCCACAAGGGACACAGGAGAGAAGTGGTGGGCTGGGGGTCCAGAGGTACACAGTGGATAGAGGGGGAGGAGAGGAGGGGACAGAGGAGAAGAGGAGGGGACGAAAGAGGAGGGGAGGGGAGGGGGCTGAGGAGGGGGGCAGGGGAGGGGACTGAGAAGTGGGGGGAGAAGGAGAGGAGAAGACTGAGGAGCAGAGGAGGAGAGGAGTGAGAACATGGCGCCCATCCTGGGCAGGTGGTGGTGGCTGGTGGTGGGTGTGGCAGCTCCAGTGCAGTCTTCATCCTGGCCCAGGTAGAGGCCTCTGGGCTGCCCGGGAGCTTTGACCTTGGAGATGGAGGGGCTCAGGACCCAGGTCCTCGCCCGGGGGCCTTGGGTGGTGCTCATGAGTTGAGCTTGCTATCTGTGGGATGGGGCTGTGTGACCCCCACCTGCTTGGTTGCACGAGCCCTTGTGAAGTGACGTCCTGGGGCAGTTAGGGCCTTTTAGCATAATCAACGCACCGGTGTTTTAGTCGAGGAAAAAAAAAAGTTTTAGGATACCCATCATACATTCCCCCAAATAGCAGGACCCCATGCTCCCTGGACTGATTGGCAGAGGTCAGCGGTCTCCTCCCCACCTCTTCCTGAGCTTCAACCATGCTGTCCAGGGTGTGTGCTCTGCAAGGCTGCAGGTGCCCTGCCGAGCTTGGAGTGCACCTGCACTTTTTCCATTCAGTTGGTCCCACGTATCCGATGCCATGCCGTGGTGGTCTGCAGCAAGCAGGCCGGTCTGTCTACCTCACCTGTGCTTACTGTGTAGGGTCTGCGCGGTCTGCTTCTGTCCACCCTACCACTGGCTCCCACTGACTGGCAGTGCCTCCGGTTGGCCCAGCATGTTGGTGAACTGCAGGTCGGGCCAGTTGAGGCCCCCAGGAACCCCAGTGCCACACCAGGGAGACAGCAGGCTGCTGCTTGCTACCTCACCTGGTCCTGCCCTCCAAGGGTGCCTGACCACACTTGGGGTGTGAGTGCTCAGAAATTGAAGAGAAGAAGCTAATTCATTGAGAATAAGACTTGGACGTAGCAAAGGGAAAATCTTTTAGGACTTATTTTCGAGTAAATTTTACACCAGTTATTAGAAAATTTTCCATATGGTGAGATGTATCTTCTCTTGTGGAAGTATAAGTTACGACTTGGTGAGATCTTCGGTGCTGGAAGCCTGTTGCTGTAGAATGGAACAAAACCACTTTCATGATTTGTCTTTGGGTTAAAAAATAACAGTTCTTGCCAATTTCTAAGATTTTGGTCTGTTGTTGCTCAGTAAGAAAATTTTCAAGCTTTTAAGAGATCTAGTTAATAAAAATGGTAATTTTATTTGGCATTTGCAACATATAATTTTAGAAGAAAAGAATTTCTTAAGAAATACTGAATTGTTTTTCAGCTAAAACAAATAAACACAAAGTATCATTCAAAGCTCTGGCTATCATGTGTTTTCCCAAGAGCACGTCTTTCCTCTGAGAGGACCATTTACCCACTTGGTCTGCACACAATAATTCTTGTTTTAATGCAAATTCTCTTACGGAAAATAGCCAAGGTTTTTCTTTAGTGATTTTTCTCTGTTTCCTAAAAGTCTCATAAAAGTCTTTGCCTGAGTGCAGGTCTCTCCTTAGTCTTGAGTGACTGTGCTCTGGATACCATCTGTAGTCAGGCTAGCCTGTTGCCTGGCATTCAGCGTTGCCCACCTGCTGCATACGGTCCTGCAAGAGGGGCATGTTGGCCCAGCCAGTGGCTTTCACTACCTTCAGTCAGGGTCACAAGTCCCTGTGCATCTGAATCTGAGAATCTTCAAGTGTGGACTTTAGCTCCTTTGGGGCTCGTTCTCCATCTGCCGTCGTGTGGTGCCTGACAACGCTGCTGTGAGCGTTGTGCTCCGAGCAGCGTCCACTGTGGGTTAGGCGGCTGCAGAGTGAGAGCCACCATTCCCTGGGCCCCCTGCCCAGTGCCACTGCTGCGCTGTCCGTCCTGTGCTGGAGGGTGGAGAAGAGAGCAGCCTCACCCAGTTCACCTGGAAAATCACAACACGGCCCTTTTAGGAGCACCTTCCCTTGGCTCTGTCACCTTATGGTAAACTCAGGGGCCAGGCTTTAAGACACACTTGGTGCGTGGCATGGAAATTACTTCCTTCTCCTCTATTTCTCAGATTGGTTCTTAGTGTTTGTCAGGGAGGGAAAAAAAAATCATTTAAATTGATGGGGATATGTGTGTGTACACAAAAATAATTTTTCCTATTAAGCTGTTCTTACTGTAACTGCCTAGAGAACTACAGAAATGGCCAGTTAATTGCAAGGTATATTAATAAGCATCATGAAGTATGCTTCAGTTCCTGATGTCTCTTACAGGAATCAGTAAAAGAGTAATTGACCTGGAGCCCATCTGCTATGTCAGCAGCAAGAGAACCCTGTCATTTAGCCTCTGGCTTTAGGCTGTCCCCAGGTCAGAGATGCCTGGTTATGGCTTGGAAGCAGATGAATTAAATGGAGTCTTTCTTAGAGAACCTTTTGTTGGATCAGAAGCCACTTGCATTTTGAAGTCCCCTTTCCAGCTCAGGATGAGGACAATTTACTTGAAAGAAAGGCAGAGCCACCTTTAGCTTTCCTCGGGGAATTCCAGGGAGTAGGGGCAGCGAGGACCGCTCTGGGAATGCTTCTTAAAGGGTTGCCTGCTGGGGATTGGTGAGTAAACCCACTGACATGGGGATTGAAGGATTGGCAGCACTTGGGGACAGCACCCTTCCCATGGAAACGAGGCTCTGCAGGCAGAGGGCCTCTGCACAGATGGGCAGAAGAGTCACACTTCCCCAGACACTCCCTTAGGACCTGTCTTGTTTTTTGGAGGGATGGTCCACAGTCGTTGGTGTGGCTCAGCCTGTGTCCCTCAGAGCTGAATGGATTCTCTCCATTAAAAGGCTCTGATTAACTGAAGTAGCAGCTCCTCAGAATTATGCATGAGTCCCTACACACTGCCAGTAGATCCAGCAAGTACATCCAGTAATGCAAGTAGAACCCTTGCTGTGTGCTCTGTTTCACAGGATTTTTCATGCTTCATTGATGTGTCACCCAGACGTGTTTTTTGTATAGTGCAGAGCGTGGAAGTCTCCTTGGGTTATCATGAGTCTAAGTCACTGTTATCATTCTGTAAAGTTGGCAATTAAGTCCTCATCTTCTGCTTTGCTACCGTTCAGCCCCTAAAGTGCCCAGAGGATGGGATGAGGAAAAGGGAGGACGACCCAGTCCCGTGGGCTAGGCCCCACTGTGAGTGCGTGGGTTCCGTCACAGGGAGGTTTGGATCAGAACGCTTATTTATATAGAAATTGTGCTGTGTCTGGTACCGTCTCACGGACCCTCCAGTGAATAGCTTATTGTGGAAAAAAGACAACTTGGAAGCTGCAAACGCAGCTGAGTCCACTCACCATCTGATCCTCCGCTCAAGCTCCACATTGTGAGGTTCTGCTTGTTTTCTCCTCCAGGTAGGAGCATGGGACACAGAACCAAGCTGGACTGCCCTTGCTCGCTCACTGACCCTCAGCAGGTGGGTGCCAGGAACCGTGCCGGTCACTAGGCCATGAGCAGGACAGTGTTTCCCCGTGTCCTGGACTCTCACAGTCTGGAGTACAGTGCTTCCTGTTCATGTTTTAGCTACTTAGAAATGGCTTGCTTGCACTCGAGTGAGAACTGGTTACTTAGCAAGGTTCTCAAGCCAACACAGAGGACGCCTTCACCTGCTTATCTAGTCCCTACTCTTTGGTGCCCTCGCCCACTGGCACTTTGCACTTGGACTTTGCTGAAGGACTGAGGGGGGCGGGCGGCACAAGGCCTGAGTGCTGTATTAGGCAGACAGCTGCCCCGGGCTGGCCAGGCTGCACCCAGCTTTGATGGAAGACAACATCGGGTGCAGGTAGCTATTGGGCACCTTCTCTGTATAACCTCTAGGTATTAGAATATGATGCAACATTATTCCTGCTCAAGCTTTCAGAGAACAAGGAGAGGAAGCGGCTGTTTCACAATGAGCTTTCTGAGCCTGACCCTGGGCTGTGATAGGCCCTGGGGCACCAAGGTTACCCCTGTGCTTCCAAGCAAGGGGAGACAGAGGCTGTTGACTCAGCACCAGAGGCCTCACTGCCTGTGTCGTGGGGACACTCCCTATCAGCTGAAGGCCTCCTCCTGAGGACTGGCTCCAGTGGGTTTGTCGTCTGTGCCTCCTCCACATAGTGTCCGTGTCTGAACTTGAGGAAGGTGTGGAAACGGGCGTTCATGTTTCCTTAGTACCTAGTTCAGGTCTAACGCCACCTTCCCCTTCACGGTGATATTGCTATGTAGCAGAGAGCGTTTGTGGCTCTAGTGAAGGAGCATCAGTTCCCTCTGTGGTCGTGTTGGGTGATTGGAAAGAGTGTTGAGCTGTTAGGCTGTTAGCACAATAGACACTAAAATGATCAAACATCCCTGAGGACTTTAATTCCTGGGCTACAAAGTATATGGTGTTAAAGGAAGCAGGTCCTTT